GTCAGTCCGAAGCAGCGGCGGCTACTGTAGCTCACACAGAAAGTTAAACGGAAATAAGTTATGAAAACTGAAACAAAAGCTATAACACTCAACAACGTTTGGAAAAGTAGACCTCTGTTGGTTCTGAGCGTTGCTTCCCTGACACTGTAAATCCGCGACGTCTCAGCGAACCGTATTTACTAAGCGTTCCGAATCTTAATTCTTTGTTTAATTTTAAAGGCAAGGACGCCCGGCTGTTATCTATGCGTCCGAACTGTTCCTGAAGCGGCAGCATTCGTGACTCAGGTTGAGATGTTGAAAACTGCCCGGCAGCCGCGCGCACCGATGACTCGCTACTGTCGCAACTATGTGCCAACGAACCATCGCCATCCGACCAAGCCTTTTTCCGCCTCGAGAATCTTGGCCTCAATCCATGCCAGATTAGCGACTTACGCTTCTTATCTCCTCGATGTTGCTGTAAACGAAAACACACAAACTGCGCGAACAAACCAAAAGTTTTCCACTCGCTATATATAACTGCTTACTCAAGCAGTGCGGAAAAAATGCCCCAGTTACGGCAACTACTGCGCCCTAATAACGCCAAAAGCACGAAAAGCGGCACTGCCGCCACACATAATTTAATACCAAACATGATATCGTTCCCAGAAAACGTGTCGCTTCGTTGCCAAACTTAATGATCCTAGTGAGACAAAACACTTTTTTTACATGCAAATAGAGCACTTTTAGCAACATGCCGTAAATGTATAAATTAGAAGGAAAGCCAAACACAGATCAGGAAAAAATAATTCATGCAACGGCTTGCTCTACTACTGTATGTGAAGCTAACAATGACACCGCTGTATGTTAGCATCTTCCTTTTCCCTCTCACTAACTTCAGCTGCCTCAAAAAGCGCTAATGTGTACTCGAGGACGAGAGGGAAGGGAGGAGAGAGTAAGAGGAAGCAATGAGCAATTGAGAAGTGGAGTAGTGGAAGGGGAAAGGGAAGAGGAACTGAGGCTAGCAATTTTAAGCTGTTTGGTGAAAATATTCCGAAGTCACCTAAAAATAAGCTTACTCGAGGAACTGGTGCACTTGTTGTTGGAGTTCCAGATGTTTCATCCGAGCCATCGTCGAATGTCGGTGCTACTCCACCAGCGCGTAGATAACGTGGCCAGCAATCGTATTTTAATAAATGGAATATCTAGAACATACTTCATACATGTTATCGAGATCATCAACATTGTCTGAACAATTAATGAAGAATCAGTATTAATGCTATTATCTTAGGTTCGCACTTAAATAAAAAAATTTCTTCAAAATTTTTAGCTTTCTCTTTTCTTTAGTTATCGAGCTAAAAATTTCCCACAAAAATTCCATCTGTCCGTATCAAAAGCATAAGCGTACATGAAGGTTGAATTTGAATTTCCAGCGCTGCACATTTAGAGGAAGCACCGAAATTTTCAGTTTTCATCTTGCCGATCTCCAAGATAGGGAATTTTGAGCCAAAACTCTCACGTGTTCGTCATGAGAGTTTGGCGCAAGTTAATGCAGAATAATTTTTGGAATCGCATGAACGCTTGGAATGTTGCCGCAAAATTTTAGCTTTCTAGCTTTTCTAACTCCCGAGTTATTAATTTTATTGCTCGCATGAATAAATGCTGAATTAAAATTCGCGGAGTCGCACACATGCGGAGAGCATTTGCTTAAAACACCAGTTTCTGGCTTCTGTAGCTTTCGAGTTATCACCTTTGGCGCTTAAGCTTTAAGCTGATCATACATGGCACCTAGGCGCAAGTGAATGCTGAGATCAAATTCGCGGAGGCCATACGTGGCCGAAGAAACGCAACATTACTTCAAAATTTCGGATTTCTAGCTTTTGTGATTTTCGAGTTGAAAAGTGCGGACAAAATGCACCTGAGCACATACACACACACGCACACATGCAAACAAGCACACAGGCAGAGAGGCGACAACATGCGTTCTGTACGGCTGTTGTACAGCACAAAGTGCTTAAAAAGAAGAACGATTTACAAGTTCTTTGCAAACTAAGCAAGCAATTGCGAACATGTATTTGAAACAGGTCGACAAACCATAAACCCAAGAAATTCGAAACTTGCAGGAGCAACGCCGAACAGCACTATCATCCTCACATCGATAGTCAAACGCTACTATGAAATTCAACGTGCATCCCATATTTGCACTCTACGAACGCCCTGGAGCCTTCACCCAGACTGGCTATTTCAGTGGCACTGCGATTGTCATTAGCAAGGCAATGTACTAGATCATAGCAGGAACAGATTCGGCAAAACGGGTTTTAGCATAACACAACTCGGTAGCTCGACCCATACGAAAACAGCTTACGAAAAAGGCACACCTGATATTGTGCTACGTCGTAAAGTTGCGAGGTGAAATTCTGCGACATAACTGCATCCCTGATGCTCTTGCTAGTGCTGTTGTCAATATTCACTGGTTCCACGCTATTCGGCGAAAAGTGTCGCTCAAAAATTTGGCGTGCAGTCTTGGCTCTTCGTTCCAGCTGAAAGCAGCACCAGCATTAAAAAGTGAAACTTTTTAGATCATGCTAGACAGCTTATCCTCAAAAAACCTCCAAATTTTTCAACCTTTGTAATTTGCCCCACATGCGAAGCACGTTAACTCGTTATTATTCAGTTCTACATCCAAATTTACATTCTAGCACGACAGTAAAAGTGCATAAACTCATTTGCTGAAAGTTTGTTATAATCGCCCGTAACACTGACATGCACTCAATACTTGCAAAGCAGATTCAGTAGCAAAGCGCGGGGGCAACTTAAAACTCTGCTCAGCTCAGCCGAGTTGGGTCAGGTGTGGGTTGCTATTCTCATGGCATGCCCCTCGGGTTATAAACGGCTTTGAATTAGAACATCGACTTGAATTTGAATGGCGGGATAGGAAAAGAGTGAACGGAAGGATCGAGAATGCTGATTTAGGTTATAGTGGGCCGTGACAGAGAGAAAAGGACTGGAGTAAAAACTGCAAAGGAGCTAAGTTTCTTCCTAGAGGGAGCAGTTGGAAACAGGGGCGGAGATTATGGCAGGAGGATTTTATGTAGGTTTATGATGCTAAGCAAGAAACTTGATACTGATTTAAAGCTGGTAAAATTGTGCTTGCCAGCTTTCACCCAGCATCGAGTTTCTTGCTAGACATCATAAACCCACAAGCGACTGGACAGAAATTCAATTGATCGGTGGAAAATACATCGATGCTGCTGGTAACAAAGCCAGGCTGCAACTACTGGAGCACCATGTAACGGAGCATCAGCTAAACTTCGAAATCATTTCGAAAATAAACGGAAGTTGTGTACTCGTGTTCTTTCTTTTTCTGATTTTGTTAAGCACTGTTATCTCCGTACTGTAAGTATGTCAAACGTCCTGCATTTTTTGTATCTCGTAGGATTTTGAGCTGAGAAAGCAGGATGCGATTTGCGAAAGACGCTGCACCTCTGTTTTCTTCCTCCGAAATCCCACAGAAACAAAAAACTGAAGGCTGCATACGATTACGACTGCCTCACTGCTCCCGTCAAACCTACAAACGAGCGTTTTTTTTTTTTTGCGCAAAAACGAATGCATATTGCGCAGTCGAGTGAACCCAGGTTGCCGATTAAAACATTCAAACAGTTAGTGTTTGTAACCTTGCCAAGTTCAGTAACGAACGAATCGAACTCAGACTGGTTCTGTGAGCAGCTGCCAAGACTGCTCTATTCCCAGCAAAAGCCGACGCTGCTGATTGCAAGACCACAGTGTCTAAGAGCAGGTAGTATTTTCTGGAAAAAAAAACGTACATCGGTATCAGGTATGGAGCGATATTCCTCCACCGCCATGTAAAAATTTATATTTTCCGCACAGAACTGTTGTTCAAGAAATTGCTGAAAAAAATTTCATGTAATTGACCCGTGCGCATAAACTGAGAAGAATGGCATGGCTTCTGACAATGTTAATCAGTGCAGAATTGTTAGAGACCGATCAGTCACTAACATCTGACTAAAGTAAACATGCCTTGAGCAATTTTTTTAAATCATCTATTTACTCATGCTGTTGCTTGTTGATTGCAAAAGAATGAAACAAATCCGGTGTTTTTGAGCCAGTGAGTAAAAGAATTATTTTTTGACCTGGAAAGGTTTCCTGTAAAGATCGTTGCGCAGGATCCTCTCGACGTCTGTACAGGACCTGTCAGATGTTTGACCGCCACCATGTGTTTCGTCGCCATTCGCCATTACCATCGAGTCGATGAGCTCGCCGAACTGCAGCTGTCCTGGTACTGTTTCGGGTTTACTGCCCCAACAATTTTCAACAAAAAATCTTTTTACATTCAAAAACTTGCACAAACGTTTTTCACATGTCTAGCACTGTTTCCATATCTATATCATATCGACGTAGTTCGGGAGCAAACAAACTCCTTTTTCAGCTTCATTCAGGAAAGGAAGAAATACAGAAGTCGGGATCAGCGAGCGATTTCAGTTAACATGCTCTAGACGACTGCAAAATTTGAGGCACCGAAACTAGCTAAGACAAGTGCTAAATTGCTTTGAACGGTAAGAAAGCGAATACACAGGCGATAATTGCAGGGCCAAATTTGCTGTTAAACAAGTATTTGCGAAAATAATTGTGGCGCTTCATGAACCCTTGTCCACTAATGACGATTACAGATTCTGATGCTATTCTAAACACATTTTTAGTAAACCAATACTAGAGAAGAAAACAAGAAAGCTTACTACTGTCAGAAGACTCCGCACGTTGTTCTGCAGCGGAAGAATGAGTTACTTTACAACATTCAGTGCGAGAAGTGCGACTTGTCGTCGATATATAAGAAACGCTCCTGAATTTCCCTTTTTTTTGCAATGATTTTTACGGTTTTTCGGGAAGGTGCTATAACTAAAAATCTTTGTTCTACCTCATAACACAATTTTTATATTGGTTCTACTTTCTGAACGAGACAGACAAAAGCAGACTCAGACTGTACTTATACTTTCGCCATACGTACCATACAGACTAGCAAGGCTGTCTCCTCCCTTTCAGGCCACGCCTATCACTGGCTCATTATTGAAAGGAGTTTCCTGCTGTTCCAACGTGGATCTTTACATCGACCACACACTGGCTGGCATTATAAACTAAAACACCACATCACAATTCAAAAAAAGTCAAAAACCCTTTCCGTATTCGTTCTCAGCGAGAAACGGAAGCACTCGGGTCAGAGTGGCAAACAGCAGCCGCTTTCTGATAAGACTGTCGATGGTTCTATCTTCCGAGGTAGCCCACAGGCAAGCTGATTGTGGGTCTGATTCCCTAGCATATGCCAGTACTAATTTTACCATTGAAATGAATGAACTGATCATAGAAATATGGTTATTCCACTGGCAGAGTTGAACATTCGACCTACCACGTAACAGCAGTGTTACTCCACTATGCCATGTCTAATGACATATCAGAATTACTTATCAGAATCGAAGAAAATGCAAATTCTGATACAAAAAAGTCGTACTGAGAAGGTCCACGCCTGCAACATTCTTGGGCCAGCAAATCATTGAGAACAATATTCGCCGTACTGCTACAAAACTCTGAAAAAGAGAGCTGGAGAAATGCCAAATTAGTGCACGACATGAAATGGAACTAATAGGAATCGTTTTCAAAAGCTTGAAATAACAAATAAACTACCACACATATTCTTTTTTAAGTGACTTCAGTCTTTGTGCTCATAGAGGAAAGGCCTTCTTGAGTATGCTAATGAGGCCCAGCTGCGAAACTGAGTTAAAATGCTCCACAAATTAGTGGATCGAAATGTTTTAGCTTTTCGTTTCCAGTTCACCTCCTCTTCTTTGTCTCCATCATATTTCTTCTCTTGATTTGCCCACTTAGTTTACATCTCTACATGCATTCAGCTGGTGCAAGAC